CGCAGAAACTCAAGGACCCCCGGGCCATGGGGGCGGCAGCATCTAAGTAACGCGGGACTTCCGGGCCTTATTCGCGCAACAAAAAGCGACGAGGGGGGCCCGGGCCGACCTGGCACGGCTGCCCCCGCGCAGGGCGGCCGATCGCGGCCTCCAGGATGCCCCTCGCCCTGCCTGTCAGATCTGGGACAAAGGTGCGAAGCATCGGCATACAGAAACCGCGCGAAAGACTGAGAGCTGGCCACGTCCGCATCATGGAGCGGTCGCGCGACTGCCCCTGGCTCGGGGGCGGGGTCATCGGGTGCCCCGAACGCTGCCCCCCGCCCCGCCCGGACCAGAAGACCCGCTCACGCAACCCCGCGAACGACGGCGCGCTCTCCACGCCGCGCGCCAGCGGCGGCCCGAGGCCCGCGGCGTACGGAGGGCCCGCGGGCACCGCGGAAGACATGCCAACCAAAGAACCACACTCTGTCAAACAACTCGGTTCCTAGCACGGCCTCCATGCGCCGACTTCGAGCGGGGTTCGCTGCCGCCCCACCTCGCCCCGCGTGGCTAGGGGCCGCAGTGCCCTCGGCGGGGGCGAACACTAGGCCCGTTGCGCAGCCAGCCTCAGCAGAACATGGCGACCCCACACTGGCCCACTCGCTTTTTATCCCGCGGGTGCACCAGGGGGCAGGCCATAGCCCATCCCCTCGCGCCGATTACTTCTTGGGTCCACATTGAGGTTGTGACTTGCGTTCTGGCACGCACTGACTCGCACGTCGAGACGGCGGGGGCCTTGGCGAAAGCCGCTTTGGGATCGGCGCTTCGCGCGAGGCTGGGCCGATCTCCCTCGCGGTTCGACCCGCGGCCCCCGCCGCCCCTGCGAATGACGCTGGCCGCCGTGTAAGCAAAACGGGCGCCGACCTCTGCAAACATTGGAAATCCGTAAACAGGCGGGAGCGCCGCCTCCAAGCAAAAGAATCCGTCGGCCAGCAAGGCTAAACCGACGATTGGTCATCCACTGGCTTGCAACTGTCCTGAGAGCCGAGAATACGAGCGGCCTCGTCACGGACGGAAGCCTCGGCCAATGCGCACCCCACCCCACCCGAGCTACCCGGCCCGCAGCGGCGGAGGCCTGGTCGGCCTGGGCAGGCTCAGAAGCAGCGCCAGCGGGCCTGGGCAGGCTGCCCCCACCCCTTGGGAGCGGCAGCGGCGGCGCCAGCCCCTGGCGGAAAACCATCGCCCCCCCCCGCGTCGTTCCGCGGCCAAGCGGCCCACCGGCGCCCTGTGGTCCGCCCTGAGCAGTTCCGTGGAGGCCGCGTCCGCGAACAGCTTGGTGGTGGCCTCCTTGATGCCTGCGTTGAACTGCTTGACCATGGTCTGAATCTTCTCCTCGTCGCCCTCCGAGACCTCGAACTCTGCCTCGTCGGGCTCGAACACGTCACCAGGGGCGATGAAGGAGTCCGAGGGGCCCTGGTGGATGTCTCCGATGCGACTCTGAGCGGGCCTCGGCCTGGCGGCAGCAGGCTCGGTCTTGGACGCCACCTGCCGGCGAAGTTCAGCAAGGACCCGAAGATGTTCAGATTCTCGACCCAAGAACTCGCGATTGGCCTCCGCCACAGCCTTTCTCTGCTCCAACAAAGAGACCTCGATATTATAATGAACAGTAGCCGCTTTGTTGAGGCGCAGCTCGGCTTTGCGGAGTTAGCGGGAAGCCTGCTTGACTCGGCGTTCGATGGTGACAGAGGGCGGGGGCCAGGATCGTTCTTCCAACAACTTCTGGTGCCTCTCAGCCGTGGTCACGTCACCGAGTGCCGTGAGCTCGTGAGCGACGCAATAAGCTTCTGCAGGCTATCGTTCGGCATGTCAGGGGGCACCACCAAAGTATAATTCTGTTGCAACTGTCCTGCTGGCATTTTGAGGCGGGCCGTTCGCGAAGAGGCCAGGTGGCCCATGCTCCCAAGCCGACGGCATGGGGGACTTCCTCGGGGCCCAGCAGTGTTTACAGTAGGCGAGGTTCGCAGCGTTGCGCTTGCTCGTGCACTCAGTACGTGCCCACTTCCCTGCATTGGAGCCGTTGCGTTGCTTCGCGAAGCCATGCGCTGGCCCAAAAGGAAGTGGTGGAGACAAGCCCTGCTGACCCGCAGGAGTAGCGCCATGCTGCGCGCCGCGACCAGACTGCCACCACGGCGGCGACAACCATGTGCCGTCACGCCAATGGTGCATGCGGTGCACGTAGATGAAAGCTTGGCGGCGCGGCCCCCACGAAGACATTTTTGGCCCGCAGATGTGAGCCGTTCTAAAGAAATCGCACCTGCAACGCTCAATCTCGCCTGAGCCCAGAACGGCGATCGACATGAATCGGATCGACGGGAATCGGCAACCGAATCAGGAAAAGCCAAATCGGCAGACATCGGCTGGCTATGAAACACCCGTTCGGGCATCGGAGCCCAAATCGGTTTCCGAGATCGAATTGAGTCGGAACCGGATGCAATCGAAATCGACCCGGATCAAATCGCAGGAATCGAAGAACCCTGCTTTTGTGTTGAACACCGCTTGCGGGCCGAACGGCATGTTCATGGCGCGTGATCGCCGTGCCCCACTTCAACCATCGACGATGCCCCACTGGAGACACCTCATTTGACTCCAAATCAAAAGAAAGAGTTTCGATCATTGTAACCTGTGTTGCCGCGAGGACTCAGAGTCAACACACATGTGCCACACATACTGACACGCGCTTTCAGACCGAATGCTGCGTTGGAGGGCAACGGCGGGAGGCGCAAAAGTCGGCGAGCTGAGAAGCGCGACGCTGGAGAAAACCCACAACGCAGAGGCATCACCACAAACGGAGCCACATGGAGATCAGACGAAAGAAACTGGACAATCGAGTGGCTCAAACGAAGGCGCGACTGCAGAAACACCAATGCTCATGCAACAACTCGAATTAAACGCTGCCCAGATGATGCGCCTCGTGTCGGGCAGCCTGTGGGATTGTTTACCCGGCTGGGTCAGAGATCGAATCCGTCAGCGCATCAGTGGCAGCAGGGATGAACCACGCAGAGAAAACCAACGCCGTCAGCAGCACGCAGCTGGGCTCCCCGCGGCTGCGCGCGGGCGTGGGATTCTTCATCAACGTGGCCCAGACCACGAACATAGACGGGGAGCCCAAGCGAGCCCTGGGTAGTTCAGTATGCTGATCGAAGTGTTCAGCATGGGCGACATGGCGGACAACGTGGGGCACTTCAGGGTGAAGAGGGGCTGCAGCGAAGAAGGCAAGCCGAAGGAGTCGAAGACCCACCTGGCGTTCAACAAGTTTGCGCCGTGGACACAATACTGGATGACACGGGAGGAAAACAACGCGATCAGGGAGGGCCACCAGGAGGAACCAGTCAATATTGGCAAATCTCACGCGAAAGATTTTCGCGAGACGACCCGAAAGGCGCTGCTGCGCGCCAAGGCGGACCAGATCGTTGGGGCCCCGCACCCGTCGGCGCTGGGGAGGCAGCTGCAGGCGGCGCTCCAGGCTCGGCAGGCGGCGGCAGGGTACGAGGTTAGCAGTCGAGCCCGAGAAGTAGCAGCAGCACACCAAGGTAGCAGTCGAGCCCGAAGAGTTGCCTGCCAGACGGGGGCGTGACGTTGAGTGCTTTCGTGGCTCTTGAGGGAGGGGGGGAGGGGAGCAGGAAGGCTAGGGGAGTGGGGCAGTCTGACCAGTCTGCCAACCGAAGTAGAAGCGTCTTGCATCAGTTTAGTTCAGTAGGATACAGACTTCCTGAAAAAAGGGGTGGTGGGCCCAAGTGCTATGCGCCCCCTCCCGTCCATGACGCTTCGTTTGTTTCAGGGGTTCGGCATCGAGCTGACGCGGGCTGTTAGGGTTCACCCAACAACGGGTCCCGCAGCTGTCCCCTGCAAACGCCGATAAGAACGCCAGCAACCACCAGCTCGAATGCCAAGCGAGCCGGAACCTTGTTGCCGCGAGGAGGGGACTCATTGCTACCAAGGCTCCCGACCCCGCTTCCTCCTGTTCCTCCTCCTCCTCCTCCTCCTCGTCCTCCTTTTCCTCCTCCTCCTCCTCCTCCTCCTCCTCGCGCGTGGCCACGGCGCGCCAAGCTCTCGCTCGGGCCGATGCCGACGGCTGCGACCAACGCCTCAGATTGGCCCTGACCGCGGCGAGAGAAGCGTTGACCTCACTCCTCCTCCTCCTCCTCACCACCGCCACCACCAACACCACCACCACCACCACATCATCATCATCATCATCATCATCATCATCATCATCATCATCACACCATCACCATCACCATCACCATCACCATCACCATCACCATCATCATCATCATCATCATCATCATCATCATCATCATCATCATCATCATCATCATCATCATCATCATCATCATCATCACTCCTCCTCCCCCTCATCCTGCTCCTTGTGCCCCTCCTCCTCCGCCACCTCCTCCCCCTCTTCCCTCCCCAGTGCAGCGGTCAAGCGACCCAAGCAGCGCCGAAGCAGATGCTCTCGCAAGCGGTGCGCCGCACTAGCCGCGCTGAGACCTGCCTGGAACAGCAAGGAGGGCGCTTCCAAAAGGCGGTTGGGAGAGTTCGCCGCACGACGACACCGCTTCCGGACGGCGCGGAACGCCGCCACTCAAGGACACATACATACATAGGCACAAATCCTAGGATTCCCCATATGTTCTTTCCTTATTTCCTGGATGCTCGTCTGTCCCTCTAATTCCCATACTTTCCGCATTTTCCTGGCCGACGACGCTCACTTGTGCCTCTGATTTTTGTTTCCCTTCTGAGCTCCTGGCCTGGTTGGAGGCACTCTGGAGTCCACTGGGCGCGGCTGTCCCCTCTCCCCACGCGTAGAAGAGCCTGTGCGCTGGCATGGTGATCGCCCTCCTGCTGGCCGAGGCCACGAGAGTCGAACACACCATCCTGGGACCAGGATGGCCCCGGTCAGGCACGGTGGCGGTGTATGGATGCTGTCTGCGGACGCTCCCCCCCCCCGCGCCCCCTTTTCACGCGGACGCCCTCGCAGCATGGGAGCGCAGCGAGGAGCACGGTGTCGCCTATCCGGGGGGACCCGGGGCCTGCCCCCTTTGGCAGACGGCGCTCTGGGGGCCCTTGGGGGACACACCGACGAGGCCGAGGACACGCGCACGCATCCCCGGAGGGAGCATGCGGGGCCACCCCGGCCGTCGGGCACTGCGCCGCAGGGAGGGCGCGCGGGGCATCGGCACCGCCGCGCGGGAGGCCGAGCCACGCGCCCGCCCCGCGCGGCGCCAGCGGCAGCATCAGGAGAGGTGCGAGTCGCTGTGCGAGTCGCTGTCCCCCGTGTCGTCTCCGAGGGTCTCCGGGATGTCGCTCATGGAGCCCATGTCGCTGTCTGGCTCCACGCCGCGCGCGTGCGGGTCGGCACCCATCTCCAGCAGCTCCGCGACCAGCTCCTCGTCGGGGTCCATGTCTTCCTCCATCGCCTCGCGCAGGTGCATGTTCAGCTCGTAGCCGGCGGCCTCCGCCCGCATGTGGTCGTACGCGTTGCCGAGGTTCTTGCGCAGCGCATCTTCGATCATGCTCCTTGCAGTGGGGGCCCGGCAGCGTCGCAGCGCTATGAACACGTGGAAGTCGATCGCCACCGAGTGGTCGGCAATGGTCTTGGCCGCCACCGCCTGGAAACCACATTGCACCGCAGCCCAGAGACCGACCTCCTGGAGAGTCAAGGTTTGCTTCCAGTGAGACATCAGCAGCTCCTCGAATGCCTTCCGCTGCTCGAGGTTGCAGACTCGGCGAAGTGGAATCACAGCCTGCTGGAGGGGGGCACACAAACTTCCCCAACAGGAGCAGCCGTTCAGAATCGCAGGCAAGCTGGGCACGCTCAAACCAGACACATGACTGTTGTCTGCTAGCTGGAGGGAGCGGTGGCTGTCTGCCGTAGGCCCTGCAAGAGAAATCAGCGGTAGGATCGTCGGCGGGTCGTCGGGGAAAGGGGCCCCAATGCGTGGGAGGCCGCCCCCATCACACCTACCCAAGCGGCACCGCGATGTGTCGCGCCCCCCCCCCCATTTTGCCAGATATGGTCTCTAAGACGCCCCCAAGATCGACCGCTGAGCTCCAGCCCCTGTAGGGAGGCCTCCGTTCGTCCAATGAGGGTTTTTCGCTCGCGCAATCTCTGAGTTCGAGCAAAGCCTATGCTCGCAGAGAGGCTGTGGCTGGCTTGTGGGTTTTCCGTTCAGGCTCGGAACACGAAAGGGGTGGAGCCAAGCTCGCCTGGGCCGGGCGGACCGCGCTGGACTGAGCTGGACCGAGGTGGACCCGGCGAGGGGCTCCGTAACGGCCCGACACGGCGTTCGAAGCCGCCAGGACGCGGTCGAGCTGGATGATCCCAAGACGGCTGCACCCATGTCCCCGGACGGCCAAATCATTGAAGCATATGCAGCGCATCATGTCAATACATATACGTGTAAGGCGTACTGCTATCACGATCGCTCGTCCCCTCTCTCTGTCTTTCATGATTTGGGTGGGCTGCTCAACAAATCCAGAATCACAGACGATACCAACGACGCGTCTCGGGGACCCATCGAGGCCCCATGACGGCACAAAACGCCAAGAAGGCCACCGTGCCACCCGAAGTAGTCCAGGATGTCCTCTCGTCTTCCCAAGTGGTCCCAAAGCGGCTCCGCTTCTGTTCACTCGGGATGCACAATCCGTCGAAAACGTATGCAATGCTTAGATAGTCGATCATTGTCGTGACCCCTCTTCAGCTTCTTATGCGATTCGTTAGACGCTGCCCAGGACGGCCACCGTACCCGACGACTCGCCCCGAGGGCCTCGAAGGGGCCCACGGTGGCCACAAATGGGCGCACGTGGGGGCCCAAGACGAACTCACGATGGCCCGAGAGGCCCGCCATAGAGCCCCCCACACGCCCTCTCTGGCCAAACAGTTGTCGGCATCAACATGTTGCTGTTGGAGCAACCGCTCCGACTTGGCGCCTCTGGGGGCGTTTTGGGATGCCGTGATTCTGTGCTTTGCTGTCTTCGGAACTCACTGGGCTTTCGTGGGGCTGTCTGGAGATCTTTGTGTGTCCACTTCGGGCTCACTGAGGCAGAGCTGGGTTATGCTGCCGTTCTGGGCCTTTCTCGCAGCCTTTCCTCTTCCCTGTCTGGTAGCACTCTGGTGCGATACTGGGAGGGGCGGGCTGTGAACGCGAAGCGTTTTGGAAACTACGTAACACGAACAGGCCTGCGCTTACCACCATAACTGGCGCCATGTTCAAAAGGAATGCTCTGTGCTTCGCAAGGGGTCGATGGATGCATTGCTCCACCCGACAGGTTGTGGGCTGTCAGATCCAGGAGCTCCCGACATGCCTCGCACACACTGCATGCCGTGGCCGCCAGAACCTAAAGTGCGCCCGTGCTCCCTGAGCATCCCGCCGCCAGGCCCCAAGGGGCCTGGCGCTCCCTGGGGATCCCGCCTCGCGTTCTCAGGTGGGGACGGCTCGAAGCAGAATAACTAGGTAAAACAATCGCAGGAATCAAATGACCTGAAGAGAGCAATACGGTTGCCACGGCCTGCTTGGTCAGCTCCGCACCGCCGCGCAGCAGGGCCCGTGCCGCCGCGATGTTGCGCGCCGCGACCGCCAGGCCCAGCGGCCTCTCGCCCTGGTGGTGCGCGTTGGGGTCTGCGCGCATCTCTATCGCGGCGGCCACTGCCCTCTCGATGACAGCCGGCTGCGCGTGCTTGTTCAGGGCGATAAGCTGCAACGAGGACCGTGGCGGCCCGTCGTCGCCCCCGTGCGAGAGCCATGGATCTAACTCTCCCTCGCTGCTGTCCTCCTCGGCCTCATGCAGGCGCGGGTTGGCCCCGGCGCGCATCAGCTGCTCCGCCAGCTGCATGTCCGGATCCCGCTTCTCGTTGAGAGCGCGACGCAGCTCCAGCAGGAGCTCATTCGTGGCTGCCCGCGCCAACCGCCTCTTGATCTGCTTGCCGCTGATGCACTTCTCGAGCAGGCCCTCGAACCTTCCCCTCGCCTCCGTGCCGCTGCAGCGGTGCAGCGCCGCAAAGACATCTCCCGGGATCGAGCCCGAGCGCGTCGCGCGGGGTGGGCTCAAGTTCTCGTCGTCGTCCGCGCTGCTCGCCGCGTCGGCGACTGCCAGCAGCGCCTCGATCTTGGAGCAGGCCTCGGATACCAAGGCGTCGCGAAGTGCATCCTGGGCCGAGGCCCCCCTTTCGCGCTCCAAGGCAGCGCCCAGCTGGATCAGAGCCCAGAGCGGCACTTCTGCCTCGTCGAGGCCCCGGGCGGCCACAAACTCGCAGAACTCCGCCTCCAGCCGCCTGCGCGGCGCCTCGCGCACCACACCAAAGAGGGCTCGCCACGCCGCTGGCGGCAGGCGCCCGTCGGCCCACGAGCGAAGCAGCAGCCCAGCCGCCTTCGCGTTGCAGCTGTGCACCGCGGACACAAGTAGGCGGCCCCGGCGCCGTGCCTTTGCCGCAACCGCCGACGCGCTGCTGGCCGTGCTGCTGGAGGGTAGGGAGTCCGAGCAGCACAGGAGGCGCGACACGAGCGGCCCCTCATACGACGGGTGGAGGACAATGAGCTCGGCACAACTCAGCTGGCGGTCCCGGACCGGTGGGCACCAGTAGAGGCTCCTGCAGTCGTGGTCGTGGCTGTCGCCGACACTCTCCTCGTCACTGTGTTCCCCGAAGTCGCGGTCAATTGTGCTGTCGTCATCGTCCTCGTCGTCGTCATTCTCCGTACGCCCTCGTGCATGAGGGTCAGCACCCATGGCCAGGAGCTCCTCGGGGATATGCTTGATAGAAGTTAAAGAATATGTGATGCAGCAGGGATATCACGCGAGCGACGCAGACACACAGCAAACCTTTTGTTGTGGCGTGTGCCCATCGCCTGGTAAATGCAACAAACATGCCTCTGTGTGCCCAAGCGTTTGCGCGAAGCGTGCGGAATAATCGCAAGCTGCAAACGACATCCACGTCGAGGGACGCAGTACCCCGGTGGTTCGCGCAATATGCAGTAGCATGTGGACCGGACAATACTGGGCATGTGCAAAATGTGTGCTGCGTCACTGTCAGCGTATCGCGCAAGAAACCATACTGTCGCATCCGAAACATGGTTGTGCTGCCACTGCCTCTGCTACCACTGCCTCTGCTGCCATGCCCTGCAAAACCAATCGCGGACTGCGAACCCCAACCGAACATCTGGCAAGAACCCCCCCCCCCGCGATTACAATGTAGCCGCCCCCCCCCGAGCAAGTGCTGAAACACGGCTGCACTATGTACCATGGCCCAGGCTGGGTTCACACAGTGACGGTGAGACCTAACTTGGGTCTGGTCTAGCTGGATGTTCTGCTTTGACCCAACTGACTCTGTGAAGCGAACCTGCGCTAAGAAGCCGCTGCTCCATCTTGCAAGGACGAGGCTGGACTTTGAGACCGTGCCTGTCCTCTGCCAACTGCTCGTCAGGACTTCTCCTGCGCTGCACAGCGTCCCGGAGCTCCACCCGCAGCTCCTCCGTGGCTGCCTCGGCGCTCAGCACCTCGAACCACTCGTCACCCAGGCGCTCTCGCAGGGCGTTCTCGTGCGCGTGGCGTGCCGGGCCCTGGGGCAGCCTGCGGAGCGCGGAGAGGGCAAGGTGGCTCACGTTGACGTCCAGACTGAGGGCGGGGATGTCACTGCACTCCTGGAGGCCTCCTAGATGCGGTCGGAGAAGAGGGGGCCGGAGGATCGTGCCTCATAACCGATGCATGCATCGCCGATGCATCGGCAACGCGGCGCGATCTTTCGACCCATCTACTCGGACCCCATCGTGGAGGCCTAGAACTCCTGGCCGAAAGTGATCTGCACCCAGAGCGGGAGCCTCGCCAGGTTGGTGGCCGACGCATCGACGTAGGGGCGCAGGTGCTCCTCGAGGCTGCGCTTCTTGCCGGAGTCGGCCAGGCGCGCGAGCTCCTTGAAGACACCCTCCGTGGGCGCCGCCCCCGCGTCCAGCAAGGCCGCCGCCGAGGCCGGGTTGCCCGACCGCACCGCCAGGTGCAGCGGCAGCTGCTGCGACGCGGAGGGCGCCTCGGCGCGCGCGCGCCAGGGCAGGTTGCCCCTCAGCCAATTGGGCCGCAGGAGCCGGTCCGACAGGTCCGGCAGCGGGGTGGGCATGGGCCCCGGCGGGAAGTCCGCCTCCACCTCGCCCAGCGCACGTGTCGCGCTCGCGGCCCTCAGCCCATGCCCTTGCACCGCCATCGCCCGCCCGTGGCTCCAGGGCATCTGCGCGCCGCCGTCGCCCTGCCAGGGTGGCGTCGGGGTCTGCACGCCCTCGGCGGCCCGCGAGAGCTCGCCCGGCGGCGGCGGCGGCGAGCTGGGGCCCCGCGGAGGGTAACCCGGCATGCCCTCCTGCCAGCTCCCGAACGGCGGCGAGGCAATGCCCTCACTCACGGGGGCGACATGCCCGGAGGGGTGCAGCGCGCCAGCCATGGCATGGCCCGCGCCCAACGAGTCCATGGCGGGCAAGGGATCTGTGGGCGTCGACGCCACGGCGGGCCCGAAGCGCGATGTCGCCGCGGCCCTCTCCAGGTTCAGCATTCTCCTGCGCAAGTCAAAGAAACACCCAAGCATCGATGATCGCATGAAGGCAGCGTTCTACCCCTGAGAGGCGCTAAGACGGGCCGAAACAACATGGGCAAGGAGACAGCAAAGCACAACACGACACGGCGCGGCACTGCACGCGGCACGCCCGTGCACACAGCACGGCATACGGCGCGTGGGGAGAAGAATCAACGGCTCGACCCACCACACGGCCCGTGGGACGGCATGGCACGAACGGCACGGCACATGTCAAGGCACAAGGCACGTTGGGAACAGAATCGCAAGATGGACCCGCGGCCCGACACGGCACATCGAGCACGGCATGCCACACGGCAAAGCATGCGGCAAGGCACACAAAAGCACGGCACACCGCACGGCACACGGTCGGGCCCTCGACACAACATTCGTTACGGCACCCGACAGAAACCGCGGCACATCATTTTGCACGGCACACAGCACGTCACACGGCACGTGGGGAACAGGATCGCGAGCTGGATCCACGACAGGACAGACTGAGCTTGGGTGTCGCTATAAGTTGCGCCAGAACCGCCATAGGTTGCATCATAGGTTGCGCAAGAAGTTTGCGCCAAGGACCGCCACATGTTGCGCAACATTTTGCGCTGCAGGTATGCGAGCAATTGCGTCACAGTGTTCGCCAGTGGTCGTCATACATTAAACCATGCGCTTCGTCATACGTTGCGCCATATCTTGTAGTGTTGCGCCATGGGTTGCGCCAAGGGCCGCAATTGTTTGCGTCATAGGTCTGCAGTTGGTTACATCATTGTGTGCGCCGAAGTCCGCCAAACCTTGCGCCATGGGCTGCGCCAGAAGTTGCGCAATACATATATATATATATATATAGATACACATCAATAGATTAGGCCGCAGGTTGCTACATCGGTTTCGGCATCAGCTGCGCCATTTAGTGCGACGTAGGTCTTCCAAAGGGCGCGCCGAGGGCCGCTAAAAGTGGTGCCATGGGTGGCGCCGTAGATTGCACCTTGAGTCGCGCCACAGACCAGATCACATTATGGTCATTATTTCCCACTCCTAACAGGTTATATACTTTTTCAGTATTCGCTGTGTAGGGGAAAATGGCACCTCCCCTTCTCCATGGCGGGGAGGGCGAGGAATCGTTCTAGTCGTCCCAGGTCCATTTGTCTAAGTTCACCTCGGCGACGCCAGCGGACTCGGGGCCGAAGCGAAACCAGATTTCGCTGCAGTCTGACAAGGGAGGAAAATGCTCGAAGATCATGTGGACATGCACCGCGGACTCATTCCACGGGCCTTTAGAGAGCAAAATCGGTGACCACTCCCCCATGCCAACAGTCGGAGGCAGTTGAGGAAAGCCAGTGCGCCAACATTTCCCCAAAACTCCGCGGGGGGCGCCAGTCATTCTATGCCAAACAGTGGGCGGGGAGGGATCACTGGTCTCGCCGGCTAGCCTTGCTGCCAAGCTTTGCACGAGTCTGGCCCGACGGAGTTCACCTGGGTGCCGTCCCGATCATTGCGGTAGCTCATCGAGGAGAACACCGCAGCGTGATCGGAGGAGCCGCTGGCCCCACCCTGGCTCCCAGACGGTGGCCCCGCCATGCGGAGCACCGCGGCGAGCTCCAGGCCGACGACCTCGAAGCGCAGCTGCAGGGCGCCCGTCCAGCCGCCCCCCTGGAGCAGGCTCAAGACCGACACGGTCGTGCCCGCGCCCCGCTCCCTCCCGCCAGGCACCCCGCGCTGCCGGAGCAGGCAGCGCGCGCAGAGGTCGTAGTCGCACGCCGGGCACCGGAAGCGCTTGGGCAGGCGGCCCGCGGCGCCCGCGGGAGGGAGGCGCACCCGCTCCCCGCACCCGTCGCAGCTCCAGCCCATGGGCCCCGCCGCCGAGCCCCACGGCTCGAGCGCGTGGCCCAGCGGGCAGAAGGCGGCCCGCGGCACCGCCTCCTCGTCGCTGCCGCTGCCGCGCTCGCTCGCGCCGTCCTCGGGGCCGGGCAGCAGCCCGCCGCCGGGGGCCCCCAGGCTGCCAAAATGCCGGGCCACGCGCCGCGGCGGGGCCAGCGCCGGCCTCGGCCTCGGTGCGCCGACCAGCGCGGCGAGGACGCGGGAGCTCGCCGCGCCGTCGCCGCCCTTGGCGCCCCTCCCCAGCGCGGCGAGCTCGATCGAGGTGCGCGTGCGGCCCGTGGCGCTGTTGAGGTCGTCGTCGTGGGTGCCCTCGCTGCCCATGGCGTCGCTGTGGGCCGTGGACTCTGGCCCGTCGGAGCCGTCGTGCCCCTCGCTCTCCTGCCAGGTCCACTCCTTGCCGCAGACGCAGCGGATGTGGTTGCATCCGTCCGACCGCGTGGTCGGCACGTTGCAGTTGGGGCAGAACTGGGCATCCCGCCAGGCCTCGCGACGCTGGCGCTCCTCGCAGCTGAGGTGGCGGTGCCACCCGCGCACCTTGCACTTGAAGCATACGCGGGCCCTGCAGCACGGGGTCCGCACCTTCGGGTAGCGGCGGAGCCACGCCAGCTGGAGCGCCAGCCGCCTCTCGGGGTCCTCGATGCAGAGCGGCACTCTGCGACGCGCCGCGCAGCGGAGCCCACGGGGAGGGTTGGCGCCTCGCCCTGGCGGCCACGAGGTGTGCAGCACGGCGACGAAGTCGTCCGCAGAAGCCTGCGCTGCCTCGAACCTCTGCCAGGCGTCGACCAGCCGCGAGGCGGCCGCCCAAGCGCGGGAGTCTGCGTCTGCCCCAGCGCCCGTGCCGCACGAGCTCGCCGCGGCCTCGGAGCTGCGGCGGCCGCACCGCCGCAGCGCGGCCGATCGGGCAGACAGCAAGTCGCACCACAGCTCCTCCCGCTGCAGGTCTGCGCGCAGCACGGCGGCCCGCTGGCGCGCCCGCCCGAGGTCGCCGCCCGCGGCGTGCGCCGTAGGTCCCGCCTGGATGGCTGCAATGTTGTGTTCAGTTTCACAGGAACTGGCATGTGTCGAATATGTGTACGCTTGAGGTAATCCAGTGATCTTGAGGCTTTCGTGGGGCCATGCTGGGGTGCCTGTGGGAACCCTTGGGCCGTCTTGAGGCCCTCTTGGCCCGACTTGGGGCGATCTTGGTGGCCTCTTCGGCGGACTCGGACGTCTGAAAGAAAGAAGAAGCGGACCGTTAAACACTTGAGGAACATCCATATAGTGATGTGTTTACGGGGCGGGTGTTGGGGGTCTCATTTGGGTCGTCTTGGATGTCTCGGGAACCACTTGGGGCTCTCGTGGGGCCATTTGGGCGCCCTTCGGACCGCTTTATGCCCGTGTTCGAAGCACCTGAAGGACGTCCAGGAGGCCTTCAAACCCGAGGAGACGATCTGCCGTGGCGCTCAGGAGGTTCAAGAACGATGCCTCTGCTGAAAACGCAAGACAGCAGCGCACACTTGGCACGGTACATATCCTCCCCCTCCTCCTCCTCCTCCTCCTCCTCCTCCTCCTCATTCCGCCACCTCCTCCTCCTCCTCCTCCTCCTCCTCCTCCTCCCTATCTGCCTCCTCCCCCTTGACTCCGCTTACACTTTCTCATCGTGGCATCTCCCCCTCCCCTTCTCCCCCTATATATCCATCCCCCTTCCCCTTTCACCTCCCCCTACTCGGGTGTTACCCGAGGTGGTCCTGACCCACGGTATCCCCAAGATTTGAACGGAAACCCCGTCGGAATGTCGGAATCGAATCGGATCGAGCCGGCTGGAGTCGATATCGACTCGAATCGGATCGATCATATCAATATGGGCCCTGACATGACACAACACGGACTTCACGAGCAGACAGAACTGGCAGGCGCCAGGGCGCGCCGCACCTTACGAGCGTGCCCAACGTTGGGCAGAGGCCGCGAGGAAAGGATGGACTCTCACGGGCTCCACGGCAGAGCAGGGAGAACAAACGACCGAAGGCACTTCGAGTCGCAGGTTCAGCATCGCACTCAGTCGCCGAGAACTTCATCGCCCGTCCCCGCTGCTTTGAGCTCCAGGCCCACCCTGCAGGCACCAAAGACTTCAACGCCTCAGCACTCCAACCTCAGGCAAAGACGGATCCGGCCCTGGACATTGTAAGGGGGAGAGGGAGCCATACCGAACCTCCCTGCATGGCGTACCCTTGGAGCCAGAGCAAGTGGGACCCAGCCGTTGACTCTCCAGGTCATCTCCCTCCTCCCCCTCTCGCTCGCCCTCCTCCTCCCTCTTCTCGGCCTCGGTCTCGTCCCCAAGAGTTGTAGGTTACCTTTTTCATCGCCCCCTCCCTCTCTGTCCCTACCTCTTCGGCCACATGTCAAGCGTGCAGTGCAGATCGTGGTCCGCCTGATCGAATCTGAAATTGTATGTCCCCTGGGCTGAATCTGGTCGAACAATGCTCCACAAAGACAAAAACACGGCCACGCCTTCCCGAGACCCGGCGAGAAGAAGGACGCGGTCTCGTCGCAGTCGGGGCACCGCAGCGACAACAGCGCGTTGGCGTTGCTCAGGTACTTCTCGGACGTCGGCGGGTCGACGAAAGGTGCCCACGCCGCCGTGCACACCCGCCCGCTGCACAGCGGGCACCGGATCATGGGCATCGCGTAGAGGGCGTCCTGCACGGCACCCGTGAAGTACCTCCGCAGGCACTCGGCGCAGACGCCGGCCCCCTCGGGGCACTCCGCGCAGATGCGCGGGAGAGGCCGCACCTCGAAGCACACCCTGCACTCGCCGTCGGCCGCAGCGCCCGCCCCGCCGTGCCGCGACCGGCCCAGCAGGGCCAGCGGGCAGGTCTGGTCCACGGGCGCGCCGGCAGGCTCCTGCAGATGCCCGGGCGCGGCTGGGGACGCCGAGGGGTCGGCGGGCGCCCTCGAGGTGGTGGGCGTGATGTGCTGCTGCCAAGCAGGACGCTGGTCCCCCGGCCGTTCACGCGCAACTCCCTGCTGCATGCAGGCCGCCGCCAAGGCGCGGGCGGCGGCCGCGCAAAAATTGCAGATCAATTGCACCAAAATGGAGCGGGAGGCAGCCGCGCGGGCGCGCCCAGCAATGAGGCGAATAGCTATTCGAGCTACTCGGTCGGACTATGCTGGTGGGAGCTGGCCGCCAGGGCACGCCTGACGCAAAAGCTCGCACGGCGCGCGTGGCGGCATGGGAGGCGGCCGCAAAGGAGCGCACCTGACGGCGCGGGAGTGCCAGAATGGCTATGTGTGAGCGATCATGAGCTACGTGAGCATATCCGTCACTTGCTGCTCATAGTGCGAAGAACATCCAGATAGTTCTTATATGAACATGTGACAGCTATGACGGCAAGGCGCTGGCCATCGTTGCTGCAATAACCCGACCCTGAGTGAATGTTTATGCTTTGAGCTGCAATACGGGACAACGCCACATGCAATCGACATGTGTGATTTGGGGATGACTATGGTCACTAGAAGCGCTGTGTGCGCTTGTTTTTATATGCGCGGTGCGCCAGGATACAAACAATCAATATCCACGCCTAGGGGTGCTAAACCCATAAACGTTGGAGTTCTGCTCACGCGAACCCAATTCAATTCGAACATGTGTTGACGGGGTCAGGGCGAGCGATGCGGCCATGCGGCTGGCACTGCCACTCGTCCGTTCCTCCCAAACAGCACGTGCACTTCGGGCTTCGCACCGTGTCTTCCTCTTTTTTTGATCTGCGGCCCCAAGGAAGAGACCAGAGGGCGGGTCAAGTCGGGCTGACTTGGGCACAGAGCCAGATAATTTGCGAACCCAGCCGTCACTGTCGACAGCCGAAACCCGTGTCTTCCTCACGTAACTGGATGGGTTTTCCCACGCCTGCCCCCAGTTCGCCCCCGTGCCCGCTCGTGGGCGCCCCGTTCGCTGGGTGGGTGCCCCGGGGTCTCGCCCCGTTCGCGCCCGCCTCCGCTCGTGGGCACCCCGTGCCCCGTGCGGGTGCCCCGAGGCTTCGCCGCGTTCGCCCCCGTCTCCGCTCGCGGGCGCCTCCCGGGCGCCTCGTGGACGCCGCATCGCTGACACCGCACGGCTCGCACCATGCAGCTGACACCGTGCAGCTAACACAGCGTCGCTGGCACCGCACGGCTGCTACCACACAGCTCAGACCTCATAGCTTACACAACCCAGGCAATTCGGTATGCTAAGTGATTGGTTGCGCAACATAACACAACATCGCCCCACACCACCTAGCTCGCACCACATAGCCTACACCGCATAGCTTACACCAGATAGCTGTCACTGCATAGCTGTCACCACACAATTCGCACTACATAGCTGGCACCTCATCGCTTACACAACCTTGCTGACACCGCATAGCTGTTACCACACAGCTCGCATCACCTATATTACACAGACCATATAAGCTTGTACGCTAACATATTCATCGCACAACATAGCTTACGCAACACAACTCCACACCAGTGAGCTCGCACCACACAGCCTACACCGCATTGCTCACACCGCATTGTTCACATCACATCGATCACACCGCGTAAAACTCTCTCCGTAGCTCACACCACAAAGCTTTCACCGCATACCTCACAAAACGGAACGTACAAAACATAACTTTCACAACTTAGCTTACACCACATAACGTGCACACTGCATTGGATTCGCTTCCTCAATGCAGAAACTCACTGTGGGGCCCACGACGAATAACATTACAATCTAAAAACCTTGTTCAGCTTTCTTCCAGCGGAAGAGGGTGGCGGTGAGGTATGGCTGGCTTCTCGCGTCGTCGCTGGGGGTGCGGCGGGAATGAGAGGCCTATCGTGACCTCCTGGGGTTATGGCTCCGTTGCTCGTCGTAGGCTCTTGGCACCGAAGGATTGCAAACCGGCAAAAAACGACAAACTAAAACAGTGATGACGACCGCGATGGACTGGTGACAATGACTCCCATACTCATGATGATAGGAACGATGACGCTGGTTGCGACAGGACGGGCATATGTCCATATCAACCGCCTGTGGAACCGACGTTCTGGAACCCCAGTGGACGGTGGTTGTGGATATATTTGACTCCAGGGGGGCCCCAATGCATCCATGTCCACCGCTCGCCGAGGTCCTCGAAGATCGATCCCACAGGAGGTGCTCATGGATAAATCCCCCCGCTGTCCGCCCGCATGGGATATCGATTTAGGTGGCGACATCCAAACCATACCCCCACCAACTTCCGACTCTCCTGAATCGATGGGGGTCGGAAACATCAGGGTCCGGAATTCGCAACGTCCGGACCCGTTCCCCGCCGCCCATCGAGCTTCCTGCATCGCGGATTGGGAGTTCGTCGCCGATCTGCGTTTCGTCACCGGGCTCGTGGTGCGCCCGCCGGGGATAGCGATGGCAAGCCTGCGGTCGTCGTCGTCGTCGTCCTCGTCGTCCTCGTCCTCGTCCTCGTCGTCCTCGTCCTCGTCCTCGTCGGCCTCGTCGTCCTCGTCGGCCTCGTCGGCCTCGTTGTCCTCGTCGGCCTCGTCGTCGTCGTCGTCGTCGCCGTCGTCTGCGAGGCCACAGCTCTTCGCCGCCCTGGCCTCCGCAGGCACGGCCTCGGCGACCCGCGCGCAGGGAGCAAGACGGTTCAGGACGAGGCGCCGACCCCCGGGGGGCATCGAGGGCATCGCAGGGCGCCGAGGATGAGCGACAGCGCGGATCGAGGAGGCAGGGGGATCGAGGCCGAGGATCGAGGAGGATCCAGGGGCGAGGATCGGGGGGCGAGGGTCGAAGAGAGAGTCCGAGGGGGTCCCGCTGGACGCCTGGACTGCTCGGACAGGCCAAGGAATCCACACCTCCACCGGTGCGGCCTGGGAAAGGGCGCCTGCCCCAGGGGGAGAGCCTAAAAGGAGTCCTGGCGGATGCCTGACTGCTCGGGCAGGCCACGGACCACCGCACCTCCGCTGTGCGGAGAGGCCGCCACTCTTCTCCTCCATCGAAGCCATCCTCCTCCTCCTCCTCCTCCTCCTCCTCCTCCCGCCTCCTCCTCCTCCTCCTGGACCTCCCTCCTCCTCCTCCTCCTCCTCCCTCCTCCTCCTCCTTATCCTCCTCCTCCTCCTCCTCCTCCTCCTCCTTATCCTCCTCCTCCTCCTCCTCCTCCTCCTCCTCCTCCTCGCGCGTGGCGGGCGGCAGTCCTGCAGCTCGGAGCTACCGATGGCGAACACGAAGGCGCGCCGCTGTAAATTTAACAGTTCGGATCTGTGCAAGACACTGAAGCTTCTTCCAGAGTCCGAGCACGAGGGCGAGATTTCCAGAAGCCAGGACACAAAACCCCACCGACCAGGGCAGGAAGGAAAAGGTGGGTTTCAGCTGTCGCCCGAAGCTCCTGTATGGCGGCCTGCCACTCGTCAAAGGTGAAAAGGCTCGCTCACATCAGCGTCGCCAAACTCAATGCTACCATACTCGTCAACTTGGGTCCACCCGATGCCGCCAATCGTAACCAGCTGGCTCGCTTCCATCTCGAGTGTGGCATGTAGAAATTCTTCGATAATTGCGTGAACTCAGGGCTGAGGAGGGAGGACGGGAGGTGCATGTACTGTGCCACAAACGAGAGGACCGAGAAACATCTCTTGTTGTACATGCTGGCCGCCACCGCGGCACTGGCTCCTAGACGCGCGGCTCCAGCGCACGTACAGCGGTACTTCAGCCGAGGGGCATCCCCAGACTCACGTTCGGCAGCCGGGCCTATCCAGAGGCCTAAGTACTTTGCCTGCGATCATATCCTGAAGTCACTCCACGGCGGGATATTCGGGAAAAACTACTGGTGGATCTTGTGAGCCAGGATGTCCGTGAATACCAAGCCCAGGGGGACCGAGACGCACTTGGACGGATTCAATTTCAGGTGGGCAATCTCCTCAAGTTCTCGAATCACCGCGTGGACCTTTATTTTCCTGTGCCTGAGATCCCTTAAAGCCATGCCGGTGTCATCTGCACAAGCGCGTTTCCGACCATTGTTTTGGGAATCGGTGATGGCCCTAAACCGCTGCAGGAACGGGTCAACGCTGTAGGGAATGAGTAGCCCTGACCCCAAACATCCCTGAACGCTTCCACTCGTAATCAGGAACATATTCGTGACACTTCCTCGGAGAACTCACAGACACAGCACATGCACAGACAGGAGAGATATGTAGAGCTTGAGGGGGTCAGGGATGTCTAGCGAGCTAGTGACTGCAAGGACCCACTCCTGGGAGACCGACGGCAATGCCTCGCCGAAGCCGTAGCACCCTAGAACAGGCTGGCACTGGGGTCCCTGGAGGCCAAAGAAGCGAGCCGACGAGTCTAAGTCGATGACGTTGTTGCCGAAGTTCCTCCCCTGGACGAGCTCCTTCTGGATGTTGTCGAGGCCCTCGGGAACCTTCCTACCGAGAGAGGCCAGCACGGCCCCAGTAATGATCTTGTGATCGCTTCTCTTAAGCCCCAAGGGTCGAGTTTCTCCTAGAGAGCGGACGGCGCCCAAGATGTCATTGGGCTCCTCTCCCCCCCTTGCGGGGCAAACGCCCCAAGCGTGAACTTGTAGTTCTCGGCTGGGACCGAACCCGCCAGCATGTGCTGCAAGCGCGAGTGCGATATCTCTACACCGCGCGGCGCCTTCTGCCATGCATGAAACGGGAACTGGTCAGGGCCAAGAGCAAAGTGAGGGGGCCGGCGGAGGTGTGCCTGAAGAGAAGCAAACGTAGGAGACATGTCACGCGCATGCACCTTCAGTGGAAACTGTCGCAGAAGAGCCGCTCCACGCTCTGCGTCGTAAGGCTTGCCAGTGAAAGCTCGGCCCCGATGCGCCTGCAGCTGTGCCATGATTGCAGCCGGTGTGTTTCAGATGTCCCCCTCCTCATCCTTGATCCCAGTGAGATAAACACTCCGATCAAACGGGCTCCACAGCTGCTCCACCTTCCTCATCCTCTTAACCCGAGCGTGAACGCGACGTGCTCTGCGTTCGTTTTGTCGCTGCTCAGCTGCACGGGCAAGCCGGGGCCTCTGCCTCGATAGTACCAGGCTGTGAAGCTGGCTGGGCAAAACTGAACATCGTTCAGGGTCGCGCAGCGCAACGGAGTGCTGCCTCTCGGGCGGGCGGGTGAGAACGCACCAGCTTGGCCGCCAAGGACACGCCCTGTCGAAAGACGGCTCTAGCAGCGCTCCTTCCGACCATGGAGCGGACAGCAAGCCATTGGGGCCGCCGAAGTATGATCGCAGAACGCACATAACGAGCAGCCTCCAACACCATACTTTTGCAATATTGATACAAGTGTCCTGGAAGAGATGTGTTCACCGGGTACTGACTGCCTCAATCGTGAGCTTCAAAAGCTCCAGCTATTCTTTCGCATGGAAGACATCCTTGGGCGCGGGTCGGTCTTCGGCTTTGGGCTGCTCCCGAACCGTCAGACAAGCGGCCGCAGCAGCGTGGTCTGAGACACCCCGAGCCCGGAGAACCTCTGGAAGCCCTACCACTTCCCCTCCTTTCGAAAACTGCGTTAGAACCCGGCCAAGAGTAGATGCCAAAATCCGGTTACTAAATGAAAGAAATCTGGTCCCAGGGTGGTTAGTTGCGGGGCCCTCGACCTGCAGTTCAGTCAGTCGTCCTAGAGTCTCTCGCCATGCAGGAGGTGGGAACACAGCGGGCGGCACAGCACGCCCGTCAGGAGTGAGAGGACGCGGAGGTAGGTGCCCAAAGTTGAGCCCCCCAGCCACGGTAAGCATTCTAAACAAAAGGTCGTCAGCAGCCTCATACATGTCTGCCTTGCTATGATCCAGTAATGTGAGTAGCTGAACACGTGGCAAGTCATGGTGATGTACGTTATACTCATCAATGCTAGCACAATGGTTATGAGCTCGAAGACGTGCGAGTAGAACTCGCCTAGGAACCAAGACTATCAAGGAAACTACAGGGAGGGGGGAATCAAAACTAGCCTGGCGGTCCTCGGTGGGGGCGAATCTAAGGTAAAACACGACTACGCCTCCTCTGCGCTCAGAGGTTGGGTGGAAGGAGGAGGAGAAGGAGACAGAAGAGGCCAGATTCTGCTGATGGAAGAACTCAGCAAACTCTGCCTCGGCGCGAGGCACCTCTTGCACCGCAGCCAAAGCTCCTGGCCGTAGAAGCTTCTTGCGGTACTGCAACTGTTCCAGCCAGCGCTCTGGACCATGATGAAGTCGTGTGCCAGCGTTCCAAATTGCCAAACGATAAGGGGGATATGGGTCTCTGGTGCCTCCCCAGAGCACGTTGATGCTGCTAACTACTCCACTGTGGTGCAGTCGTCGACTGGCGGGGAGCTGTCTTGAGCAGGGGCTCGATGCGGGCACGATGGCTATTCTCACTCTGCAAGTTTTGGCAGGCAAAGGGGGTGGTCGGGGTTTCTTGGTCGGCCTTCGGGATTAGGTGCACCAGTGGTTTCCAATTCGTGCTGGTGGCCCCCTTGAGCTTGTCCACATAGAAGACGCGGCCGGGGTAGCATTCAGATAGGACTCGCTTCGCCGACTTCGCCGCAATTTTTCGCTGCACTTGGGCGTGGCTATTGTCTGGACCCACGTTGATATCGCCCTGAACGCCTGTGACTGATACCGCCTGGAAGCGCCTCCACTGTCCTCCAGTCTGCGAAGGTCGAAGGAGCGCAAGGAGATGTTGAACAAGACGGCTCGCGAAGCCAGTAGCGCCACTGAATATGATAGAGAACTTCTTACTCGTGGGGTCGCCCCCGACCGACCACTCACTGTCGGGAGGGCTGCCTTCAGCGATCCACGGGGCCATCGCCACTTTGACAGCCTCCTTCGCTGACTGCATCTTGCATCGAAGGATGATGATACACGGGTCCATCTCGCGATCGAGTCCTGCGCTACCTCCAGCGTCCCGAAGGACGGGTACAAGAATTTGTTCTCTTAGCTTGGTTAAGCGCCTGGCACATATGCTGCATCTCGTACTCCATGTCGCGGATCCGGTGTTCATGATCTTCGATGGACAGCTGCATGGAAGCGAGCTCCTGATTGATCTGTCTCTGCATAGCGCCGCAGTATGTATTGACCACACCAGTGACATGTGACACGGTGCCAGTGATATTCGTCTGCGTCCTGTTGGGCTGGAAGAGGAAGTCGCGCTGTCCTTCATCGACATATTGTTTGAGTTTTCCAGCCGACAGACCTTGCTCTGGTCGAACTTCAGGTCGGCCACCATCAGGCTCACGACGCTTGTGGCGATCGGTAGTCCCGTCGGCATTGACCATCTGGGAGCCGCTGTCGGCGCTCGCACTGCCCGCGCCCACTGCGGGAAGACCACCTGTCGCCATGGCTGCAGTCCCTCGCTCATGCGTGAACAGCCCCAGCTGCCAGCAATGAACACCCACAGGAACAGGGCACGGAGCAGAAGGTGTGTTGGAGAAATGGTGCCGTAGAGCTGGCCTCGCCCAGGTGCCTGAGCCAGCTGACGGATATATCCAAAAGTTCATCAGGGTCAGCTGTGCCAGTTTAGCGTCCTCCATTTAGCCTTGAACCAATATGGCTACGGACCTCTTCCTCCTCCTCCTCCTCCTCCTCCTCCTCCTCCTCATAACTCAAAACTCAGGAAGGGTGCCAAAGGGTCGGAAGCCCAATGCAACACCAAATCCTCCTCCTCCTCCTCCTCCATCGAAGCCCGCGTGCGCTCTTCTTTGCCATGTGGTCCCACATGGAGTGCTCGCTCGACGTCTTTTCTGGCGCCAGGAAGGTACCCCATGCTCTGTTTGGACAGACCAGGCCCCCCTGTCTCTCTCTCTCTCTCTTTCTCTCTCTCCTTTGGTCTCTGCCTCAGCCTCGCTCTCTCTCTCTCTCTCTCTTTCTCCCTCTCTCTCTCTGTCTCTCTCTCTCTCTCTGTTTCTCTCTCTCTCTCTCTCTTGTCCTCAGTACTCCCTCTCCTTTGTTATCAGTACCACTTGGCCTTCAACCAACTAGCACGACAGACTAAGCCCACCCCGTTCCCTTGAGAGAGACCGGATGCATATTCGCACGTACGCGGTACGTTCCAAAAGGAGTTGACGTGCGTCGGATGCCTGCCTACCTCAAGCCTAAGCAATGCAACAACGGCCTGCAACTGCGCTGAGGCATTCGTTTGGAAACGCGCCGTAAAACCAAGCGAGCCCTAAAACAACTAGAACAGGACGACATCAAATGCGCTCACCTCCATGATGCCACATATCTGCGTATGTGATACAGGCTCGCCATTCCAAAGCTCAGTAGACTTGCGCAGACGGCGGTGCAGACTTTTGCGCAGCGGCGGTGCCAATTCCACATGCTGACATGCAGTGCTACACGACATGATATAATGGCACGAGCGAGGTGCCTCGATGCATACATCAGAACTCACGGGAAGTGCTTTCACCACCTGACCGTCAGACCATCAGACATAATTCTTTAGTATTAAACAGACTTATAACGACGCTGCATCTTTTCTGTCGGAAGGGCGGGGCTGCTTGAACACCAAAACAGGTCCATGTGCCATGATAGCCACCGCTAGAAGAACTAAATCACCTGACGTGGCTCGGCACAACCAATGGCAAACACTCGAGGCAAGCATGCGGCTAACAAAAAAACACAGTTAGACCACCTGTGTGTTTGGATATTTTCGTGTGTGCGCGTGTGTGTCACAACCTGGTTGTAAATCTTCGCGCTTAACCCTTCCCGTAACAGTGGCATCGGCGACTGCGGTCCGTTGCAGCGGTGGCGAAAAACAGATGTGTGTGTGCGTGCGCGGTAATTGCCCGCGTTCACAGCTTGTGAACCAGCCGCTGCAATCCATCGACGCGCCCGAAGAACAAATGTGCGTATGGAAGCGGTTGTCAGACTGTATCGTCTCTGTTCGACGCGCCCTGCACTCGGGATAGGACGGCCGCCTCTTGAAAACAATGGTCATAGGGATTGGTGCGCATAATTTTCCAGAACCCATACACGACTGACCCTTGGGTGGATCACACCGTCGGCGGAGGGATTGGCGTCCAGCAATGTTTCGCCTCAGCATTGCTGTTCGAAGGGGGCATTCGAGTCGATCCTAACATGCATCGATGTGTTGTCCATGCCAATTCTTCGATTGCAACCAGCCGAGAAACCAACAAGCGAAGTCTTGCGCGGGGGTCCATGCCCCAACGTTTCAGGAAGAGCGCTGGCGGATCTGCGCGGCATGGAGAAGCAGCGCCTAAACACCCGCCACACGATGAGCGACCAGCCCTGTGAGCCCCAGCAGGTTGGCAATCCGAGCGAGGCCTGCACGAAATCGCCTAAGCGGCAGGACAGAGGAAGCAACAACACGACATAAATTAGAACAACCTCCTGGAGGTTCGCGCGGATGCTTCTTGGATCGGCCCTGGGGCCCCCGACGCCTTCAGCGCCGCCCCGGGAGCGCTCCGCGCGCTGGGGGGAGGAGGCCCAAAGAAGCCCCGAGAGCTAGCCGCGCTTCCTCCCAAGTCTGCGGTACGGGCCCTTGTGGGGCCCCCAGGGGGCGCCCTGCGGCTGCTGCCCTGCCGACCCGCCGTCCCGCCGGCAGCGCCTCTGCAGGACGCGGCACCCCACGCCGCACAGGAGGGCGACCTGCGCCACGAGGAGCAAAAATGCCCACCAGGGCAGCTTCGCCAACAGCTGGAAAGAAGCCACGATGGCGTGTTCGGTCCCGCGTGCAGCTGGCCGAGCCTCCTCTGGAAGCAGCTCTATCACGCCAGCGGTCCGATCGTCCATGACAGCGCTGTCGTTTAGCTGAAGATCGTCTATAAGTACCCCTGGGTTCCTGGGCAGGCACTGCGAAGTCGTCCGAGTAAACTCGACGCAAGTGTACTTTTCAGTACAGCACGTCGGGCCCGTCCATCCTTGGCCACCGCACTTCTCCCACGGCTCAGCGCACTCGCCTGGCGGCCCTGGGGCAGCAGTTGGCGGCATTGCAGTCGGCGGTGGCGCATCTGTCGGTGGAGGCGCCGGCGTTGGCGCTGGGGCTCGGCCAGGAACGCAGGCGACAGTGGGCGTCCCGGTCTCGCAGTAATATGATACGCCCGCATCGCCACTCGTGGAATCGCCTCTGCAGTTCATTACTGCAAGCATTGTGCCCTTTCCAGATAGCGAAACAGCCAAGGGCGAAACAAAAGAACTTTCCAAGTGACTGGGGGCCGCGATGCCCGTCTGCACAGTGACTGCGTGGTCACGGAAGTAGTGGTAGACGCCCACGCCGTAAGCCTTGTGATGTTTCACCCCGTCGTCGACGCGGTACCCGACAAAGCCCGCGTCTCCCCAAGACTCGTCAACATCGTAAGGAAGCTCTGATTGGTAGAAGAACGTCTGGCCGTCATCCCCAAACCAGTGCGCCAAATCCTTCAGCGTATGCTCCACAGCAAGGCCGTACATAGTCACATGGTTTCCCTTGACAACGAGTCCGTTCTCGCAAGGGTTCGCGGCTCCGGTGACTTTGCCCGCAACCCCATGGTCGGCCCTCCACAGCCACAGATTGTCGCCCACCACGTGGCCAGACGATCCGCCACCGTTCCTGCAAGATGTGAGCGTGTGGGACCGCCTATGAGCTGTCTAGTCGGGTTTCTGTACGTCTTCCAAGGCCCCACCCTCCTCACGGTGACGCTGAGTCGCATGCATCCCTCACCCCTACCGAGGGCTCCTAAGCGACCCGATGCCTCCCTGGGGCTCTCCGCGGCTTCCAAGGCGGTATAGAAAGGCAACAGAGTCCGCCAAGACGGCCCCACGTTGCCTCCAAGATGCTTGCAAATACCCCAGGGGGCACCAAAGGGCCTCCAAGACGCTTCCAAAGCACCAGGGAGAAGGCCCAGCAGCTCTCCTATCAGAGGGAAGGCCCAGCGGCAAAGAAGGCCCAGCACCCGACAGAAGGCCCTGAGGAAGGCCGACATAATTCAAACATATATGGAACCCAGTAAGGTATTGGATAGAATTGTGTTTCCCGCGCCTATCTGCTCAAGACGGTTCCAGGATGACCTCGGTAGAGCCAAAGAAAGCCCCAAATGCGTAGCCCCAGACGGCCCAAGAATGCCCCCAAAGCAGCCTGGGACCGTCCCACGAAGGCCCAGAAGAGCCGCGACACAGCGCAGCATGGCCCCGAGATGGCCCACTGCGGCCCCGCAGGGCTGTGACGACAGTCCCAAGAGACTCCCCAGTCGGCAAGATGGGGTTCAGGTCGTCCCAAGAAGACCACAAGACGGCCCAAGAAGGCCCTAAGAGGGCTCTAGAAGGTCCGACGTGGACCCGCCCGAGACAGCCCCAAGACGGCCAAGGTAGTCCCCATCCGACCCCCTCAAGGCAAGATGCGTCACATGTTACAGCCTTCTGGGCGGTGCTCGAAGCTTCGGCACAAGAGTGCTGCGCTGGCACGCTTGGGCACGTTTCCGGAGGCAGCTTGATATCTTGACCATAACCTTGGCCCGAACCTCGCCCTGTGCGGGATCATTCGGGCCACCCACGCGCGCGAAGAGGTCCGTAAGCACCCCTGGATTCTCTGCACTGCCCTCGTGGGAGCCGTCGCCCCACTCCAGCAGCGTCTCCGCCTCATCTGGGCCAGCCTCGAGCAGCAACCCTGCGATGCGAACGCCGTCGACGTTGCCGACGCACACAACAGGGTTGCCCGCCGCTGAGACCAAAGTCGCCAAGCCTAGACCGAGGAGGACCTGGCCCTCGTGGCTCAGTTTCAGAGGGGCCCTCAGGCGATAGATGCCAGGAGTCAGCACGACGTGCAATCCACTCGATAACTGCTCATTGATGACATCTGCGGAGTCTACGTCGGTAGCCACGTACACGTCGGCGAAATCCACGACAGTAAACTTTGACTCGGGATCGTCGAAATTAGGACCCACGCTGTCGTGCCTTACAGATGGTATCTGCAAACTGTATTTTCCATCCGGATCAATAGTTATGAAGGGTTTCTCTGCTATTATCGGCGTGGCATCTACGGCGACTGAAGGGAACCCCGCCTCACCGTCTTTGCGTCCGCATTTGCTCGCTGGGCCATTCTTGTTGCCAACGAACACCATGTTCCAATTGCCCTCCGGCCAACCGCCCATAAGCGTATTCCGTGTGAACCACTGCTGCTGGCTCGCGGAGTGGATGGTGCCGCTCACCCGGGCATTGGCCAAGAAACCGCCGCTCGCGTAGCCGCAACCCACACCATCGACGTACTGAGACAAACTCAGGTCCTTGTCCACGATAATGCGCCGGAGTGGAGCGGCCTGCGATACGGCCCACATCATGCTGCCCTGGATTCGGAAGTTCTCCGCTGCGCGCCAGAAAGTGCTGAGCGCACCGCCGAGGTCTGTCTGGTCGCCCTCCTCGGCAAACACCCCGCGCTCGGAGGAGAACACAACGTCCGAGGGACTGGCCCCGAGCCCGAGGACTTGGGTGTAGTAACCCACGGGGACCTCCGCAGCGTACGTGCCGGGCTTGAAAAAGAAAGCGTACCGCTCCTCTAAGAGGAAGAACAAGCGGCATGAGCAAGCAGAAGCATTCGGAGGCGCGCGCAGAATTACTTGGATCGGCGCTTGACCCCCCTCCCTGGCGCGCGGAGTGCGCCAGAAGCGGCGCTGGAGGGACCGCCATGTGGGGTTCGGCGCCCATCCAGGAAATCTGCGCGTACCTGCGAACGTTGTACTTGCGCAGCTCCTTCTTCTTCTTCTTCTTCGATCCTCGGAGAACTGCCCGTGGTCGATCGGCGCGTGGCCGCCGTTCTTCCCGTACGCCCTGCCGACCGCGGATTCGATGTCCTCTGGGGGAACGAGCATTGACATAAGCATAAAACTCTGAGGCCCGCGCCGGCTTCTCGCATCGGCGCTGGGCCCCCCTTTCTGGCGCGCGGATCGCGCCAGGGGCGGCGCCGAAGGCGCCGCCAGGGGACTCCAACGCCGATCCGAGAAATCCGCGCGGACCTCCAAGTTTTCATGTTCATGTCATTCTTCGTGCCCCTATCCTCGGTGCTGTCCTCGGGCCCGAACACGCGGACGCTGGGCGGCCACTCCGGCGGGTTCGGCCGTGGCGGCGCTGCCGCGCGGGCCGCGCGAGGACAGGCCGCGGCGGCGGCCGCCGCCGCCGCGAGCGCCGCGCCGGGGGCACGCATGGGGGGGGGAGGAGAAGGAGGAGGAGGAGGAGGA